GAGCCTGGAGGTCTTCTCGGCCCCCCTCCCGAACGGCATCAAGAAGACTGTCCCCGAGGGCGCGGCGAAAACATCTCCGAAGACGTCTCCAAAAGTGGAGGCCAGGGGTCGGAGTGGACGGCGCGTTCGGCGTCCCGAGCAGTGGGGAGGGGAAGGAGGAGCCGTAGGGGAGGGGAGGGAAAGGGGAGGGAGAGCGAGGGAGGGGAAGGGGAAGGCAGGATGGCTAGGGGCCGGGTTACCCCTTCTCCCTCACAGCCTGCTTGCTCAGTCACTCCATGCCCATGCGGGTGCCTCGTTTTGTTCCGTTTCTTTATGCCTTGTTTCTGCTTATTTGCAGTTTAATATGTTGGCCAATGCGCCTAAGTCGGTTGCATGCCAGGCGTTGTTTCAACCACCCTGACGCTAGAGTTCCAATCGACCTCAGTTCGCCTAACGTCAAAAGGAGGGCCAGGGGGGGATTTGGAGGGCGACGACCTGAGCGAATGGATCGGGAGAGAGCGGAGGAACGCCAGGAATTGTAACACGTGGCGTCCGATCTGTATACCGTTCAATGTGGTGGGCAACTGGCCCACCTCGAGGCGCCTGGGAGGTCTGAGCTGGATACGCCTAGAGAAACTCGATCGAATCGCGATGTTATGTCTTCTTCGACTTGCAGTGCGCGTGTCTCGTTGTGCTCCTCTGTCCATGAGTCGCGTGATTGGGATAGCTCTCGTGAGGGGCAGTGGACTTATGGATATGGCTTTTCCCCCGTTGTTTTCGAGGATCCGTTTAAGCTTAGAGAAAATATGTCAAGAGGGGAGACGAGGGGCACATCCAGTCAAAACCGACCCCAGGAGCCCATCCCGGGATCAAAGTTGACTAATCTTTCTGGCCGCGTCACGCCGTGGCGACGAGGGGGCCCTTTTCTCTTTCTTTTTCAGGCCGGAGCAAGTGCTGGACCACCTCAGCCCCACAGCCGGCTCCATCGCCCACCAAGCCATAGCCTCGCAATTCGCCCCCGTCCTCGCGAGAGCCCTCCTCCCCACACGACCTCTCGCAACGACTCCGCTCTCGCAGAGCGCCCTCAGTCCTGCCCCGAACGCCGCCTCGCCCTCTCGGTGGCTGTACTTCTTCATGAGCGGCATTCCACTTTTGGCTCCTGGTCCAACCTTCGAAAAAACTCAGGAGGGGAAAAACACACAGACACAATGAATCGTCGTTTTCCAAGACGATATTGGCAACTATGGGAAGTGGGGGGAAGACAAAAACCCAGAAAATATGGGAAACTATGGGGAGCTATGTTATTTGTGTGTCCTGGGGCTCCTTCAGAAACGGCAATTGCAGAAGCATAAACGCTTAGGAGGTCTGCAAGGGCTTCTTGGATCGGCGCTGGCCCCCCCCTGACGGCGCCCCCTGGCGGCGCCCCCTGGCGCGCTCCGCGCCGATCCGAGGAGCCCGTGCGGAGGTCAGACAGTTTGTGGTCGTGCCGACGTGTGTTGCTCCTCCACCTGCTGGGGGGGAACCAAAAGGTACACCTTAGGCGATGCTTAAGAAAACTTAAGATTTCGACCAGAGTCTCGATTATTCTTAACGTTTCAATGTAAATCCTAAGATTTGAATAGACATTTTGGGTTTTTATTCCAGTTCTGAGACTATGAATTTCTTAACCCATGATTTCTAAAGCATTTCGCAGGGTGTACTCCCCACACCTCCCCCCGGGGTGCGCTCCGACCGGAATTTCGAGGCGGATCCAGCGGCGGCAGCGAGAGCTTCCCAGGAGGCCCCAAGAAGCGGAGCACTCGAGGGCAGAGGGCAGAGGTATATTGGGTATACCTCTCCCTCCTCTGGCTTGCTGGCCTCTTGGCCTTCCCGCCGGGTTGCCGAGCACGCCCGCGCTCGGAAGCAGCAGCAACGAAGAGAGCACCGCGGGCGGCAGCGCGGGCGCGCTGGCTCTGCCGCCGCGCGCGCGCGCGAGTGCCGCGCTCCGCGGCGCTGCGGCCGTGCGCGGCTCGCCGAGGCCGCCCAGGCATGCACCACAAGCACGGGTCACTCTGCAGCGTGACTTGAATTCGAGCATATAAAGAGTTTTTTATATATATATATATATATATAAAAAGTCAGGGGATGATTTCCCTACTATGATCGAGTATGTTTGAATCTTGGTTTGACAAGGTTTTAGGTGTCGCCCAAAATCCGCCTGCAGGAGGACATGCCCGACCTGCGCGTGACTCCATCTCTCGCCCCCGCTCCCGCTTCCTTCCCATTCCCACGCGAGCAGCAGCATTCCTCTCCCATCTCCGCGCTTCGAGGCCGCACCGGCTGGAGACGGCGGCAAGAAGCGCAAGGCCGAGACTGACGATGCGCCAAAGGAGAGGGGGAGGGACTGTGTGTTGCCGAGGGCTCTGCTCGGAAACTGTAGCATATACATTACCAGTGGCGGGCTGTTTTTCAATCCCAGGACTCTTTGAGGGTCGGGGACGACGTCGGGGTGGTGTGGTGTATACTTGTTTCCTTATTTCCCCGGGGAAACAACGAAAAACGTTTACACCAGGATCCCGTATACACCAGGATCCGCTTTCCTGGACAATTTTCAGTGCATGGCAGGAAACAGCGGCGGTGTATAGAGCTCGGTTCCCCATCTGCTTGGTAGACGCGCGCTGTGTGTATGAACGGATTCCGCTGCGAACATACCGTAGACGCGCGAACGGCAATGTAGGCAACGGCGATGTAGGGTTCGGCATTGCAGGTGGGAGTGCCTCGTGGCCAAGCCAGTTGTAGGACATCGTGGTTCGTGCTTTCCTACAATTCGCTGCGCCGTTTTCGCTCGACACATTCGCACATTTGAAATGTAGGACAGTGTGGTTCGTGATTTCCTACAATTTGTTCTGCGCGAGCTCGGCGTCACAACAGTCGGATTCCCAACATAGCCGTTAACCAACATCGCCGTTAGCGCGGCCTTGGACATAAACTTGCCTCTCGACGGCGCACGACAAGGAGCGAGCAGGCAAGACCTAGACAAGAAGTGCTCCCAACCGCGCGCAGAAGCTCCTGCGCAGGCTCCAACGGCATCTTTTTGGCACTGCGCGATTGTGCCGCACTCTTTCTCTCTCTCTCTCTCTCCCTCTCTCAAGGGCTTCTCTCCTCCCTTATCCCGTTTCTCTCCTCCCTGCTTGCTTGCTTCTCTCTTCTCTCTGCCACGTCTCCTCCACTCTCTCTCTCTCTCTCTTTCTCTCTCTTTATATATGCACAAATCCGTGAAACTGTATATAATTGGTATACATATATATATATATACATACACCTGAGAAAACCCAATCAGTGGATGATTTGAACATCTATACGATGGGTACTGAGATCGATTGTGAGATCGATAAAGAGATCGATATTGCAATCGACAGTGAGGACGATTGTAAGGTTGATAGTGAGAAAGAGAGTGAAATCGATTCAATGAGATCGATATTGAGATCGATCGCGAGATCGCTCATGCCATCTCCAGTGAGATCGCTTGTGGGTGAGAAGTGGGTAATGAGATCGATGGTGAGACCGATCGATGAGAAGATCGACCAGGAACCCGGGAACCCGGAAACCTCGCCGCCCTCAGAAATCGGCCCGGAACACGGAACCGGGAGCCCGGGAACCCGGACCCGGGAACCCGGGAACCCAGCGTGCGACCAAAATCGGCGGGAACTGTTCACCAAATTTTCAATTTCCGCTAGGACGCCTTCAGTGCACGCGCTGATAGGGTAATTTCCGCTAGGACCCCTTCAGTGCAAGCACTGACTGGGGAATATGTATGCGTATGTCTCCCTCTCTCTCTCTCTCTTTCCCCTCCCCGTCCCTCTATCTCTCTCTGTCTCTCTTTGTTGCGCTCACTCCCTCGCTCTCTTCATCCCCCACCTTCCCCTCTCCATCCCCCCCTCTGGTTGGGGAGGCGGGGGGAAGGGGATGGCCCTGACATCAGCGCACGACGCCAACGTGACCCTGGACGGGGCAGCTCGCCGGCGGCATCGGAGCTCGCACCGCGTCTCATGGAGCTCCCTCGAGCTGGACGTGGGGCTCTCGCTGCAGCGTGCGAAAGGGGAGAGGGTAGACATCAAAGGGATTTGCGAGGAGATCGAGTGTGGGGGAGCAGACAGGAGACCCAGCAGGAGCAGGAACCCCCCTCCTATACCTCCTCTGGCTCCTGCTCCTCCCCACCTCGCCTCGGCCTCTGCCGCCCTCTCCGGCATGCCCGTCTTCTTTTGGGCATCGTGTTGGAATTGGTGCCAGCGCATTTGTATCGCCCGCGCGTGCCGCATATCTGAATCCGTAGCGCCTTGGGGCTCTCGATGTCGATGTGATATTGCCGCTCGATGGCGTACCCAAGCGTGCCGATCAACAGGGCGCATCCTCGGGGCCAGGAGTCGTCCTCGGGGCCACGTGCCTCGAGGGTAGTTCGCAGCGCAAGTTCAGGAGCCGGCAGCACGTCGTTCGCAACGGAACTTGCTCTTCTATCGGGCCGTGCTCGTGCGCAGAGGCACCCATCCGATGCCCATCCCCCTCGCCCCCGTTCTCCCCCGCGCCCGCCGCCTCGTCCTCCTTCTCCTCGCCGTCTTCCTCGCCGTCCCCCCCCGCCCTCGCCCGCATCGGCGCCCCCCCGCTGCTCGGTGGCCCCGGCCCCTCCTCTCCTCAGGAGGCGGCGGCTCCCGCGAAGAAGAAGAAGGGCAAGAAGGCCTGAGGCGGCGGTGGCCACGAGCGCCGCCGCGGCGGCGGGCCGGGGTGCGAGCACGACTGCCAACGATCGGGAGGGGTCAAAAAAACACACAGACACAATTCATCGTCGACGCTTGAGAAAATATAGGCAAGTATGGGAAGTGGGGGGGAGGACGAAAACCTAGAAAATATGTAGAAATATGGGGAACCCTGGGATTTGTGTCTATTTATATGTGTGTGTGCGTGTGTGTGTGTGTGTGTGTCTGGGTGTGTGTCTGTGTTTGTCTGTGTTTGTCTGTGTGTATCTGTGTGTGTGTCTGTGTGTCTGTGTGTGTGTCTGTGTGTGTGACTGTGTGTGTCTGTGTGTGATTGTGATTACGTGTGTATGTGTGTATGTGCCTGTGTCTGTGTGGGTGTGTCTGTGTGGGTGTGTCTGTGTGGGTGTGTCTCTGTGTGTGTGTGTCTGTGTGTGTGTCTGTGTGTCTGCCTGTGTGTGTCACTGTGTGCGTCTGTGTTTGTGTGTCTGTGTGTGTGTGTGTCTGTGTCTGTGCGTGTCTGTGTCTGTGTGTGTCTGTGTGTGTTTGTGTGTGTGCGTGTCTGTGTGTGTCTGTGTGTGGTGTGTCTGTGTGTGTCTGTGTGTGCCTGTGTGTGTGTGTCTGTGTTAGTCTGTGTGTGTGTCTGTGTGTGTCAGTATGTGTGTCTGTGTGTTTCTGTGTGTGTGTCAGTGTGCGTGTGTGTCTGTATGTGTGTGTCTCTGTGTGTGTGTCTGTGTTTATGTGTCTGTGCGTGTGTGTCTTTGTGTGTCTGTGTCTGTGTCTGCGTGTGTGTGTGTGTATGTGTGTCTGTGTGTGCCTGTGTGTGTGTCTGTGTGTTTGTGTGTGTCTGTGTGTATGTCTATTTGTGTGTATGTCTGTGTGTGTTTGTGTGTGTGTCTGTGTTTGCATGCCTGTGTGTGTGTCTGTGTGTCTGTGTGTGTCTGTGTGTATGTGTGTGTGTGTCTGTGGGTGTCTGTGGTTGTGTCTGTGTGTCTGCCGGTCTGCGTCTGTGTGTGTGTCTGTGTTCGTGTGTTTGTGTGTCTGTATATGTGTGTGTCTTTGTGGGTGTCTGTGTGTGTGTGTTTGTGTGTGTGTGTCTGTGTGTGTGTTTGTGTCTGTGTGTCTGTGTAGGTGTCTGTGTGTGTTTGTGTGTGTCTGTGTGTGCGTGTCTGTGTCTGTGTGTGTGTGTGTCACTGTGTGTGTGTCACCGTGTGTGTGCCTGTGTACGCGCGTGTGTGTGTGTGTGTGTATGTCTGTGTCTGTCTGTGTCTGTGTCTGTGTCTGTGTCTGTGTGTGTCTGTGCCTGTGGCTGTGTGTGTGTCTGTGTGTGTCTGTGTGTGTGTGTCTGTGTCTGTGTCTGTGTATATGTGCCTGTGGCTTTGTGTGTTTGTGCCTGTGTCTGTGTCGGTGTGTGTGCCTGTGTGTGTCTGGGTGTGTCTGTCTGTGTCTGTGCCTGTGTCTGTGTCTGTGTCTGTTTCTGTCTGTGTGTGTGTCTGTGTGTGTCTGTGTGTGTGTCTGCGTCTGGGTGGTTGTCTGTGTGTGTGTCAGTGTGTGTGTCTGTGTCTATAGGTTTGTGTCTTTGTGTGTGGCTGTGTGTGTGTCTGTGTGTGTCTGTGTGTGTCTGTGTGTGTGTTCTGTGTCTGTATGTGTCGTGTGTGTGTGTCTGTCTGTGTTTGTGTGTCTGTGTGTGTCTGTGCCTGTGGGTCTGTGTGTTTCTGTGTCTGAGTGTGTCTGTGCCTGTGCCTGTGTCTGTGTGTGTGTCTGTGTGTGTCTGTGTCTGTGTCTGTGTCTGTGTGTGTCACTGTGTGTGTGCCTGTGTGTGTGTCTGTGTGTGTGTCTGTGTCTGTGTCTGTGTGCGTGTCTGTGACTGTGTCTGTGTGTGTCTGTGTGTGCCTGTGTTTGTGCCTGTGTCTGTGTCTGCGTCTGTCTGTGTCTTTGTGTGTGTGTCTGTGTGTGTCTGTGTCTGCGTCTGAGTGTGTGCATGTGTGTATGTCTGTTTGTCTGTGTGTGTCTGTGTCTGTGTCTGTGTGTCTCTGTGTCTCTCTGTGTCTGTGTGTGTCTATGTCTGTGTCTGTGTGTATGTCTGTGTGTGTGTCTGTGTGTGTGTGTGTCTGTGTCTGTGTCTGTGTGTCTATGTGTGTGCGTGTCTGTGTGTGTCTGTGTCTGTGTGTGTCTGTGGGTGTGTCTGTGTCTGTTTGTGTGTGTCTGTGTCTGTGTCTGTGTGTGTCTGTGTATGTGTGTGTGACTGTGGTTGTTTCTGTGTCGGTGTCTGGTTCTGTGTGTGTCTTTCTGTGTGTGTCTGTGTGTGTGTGTGTCTGTGGGTGTGTCTGTGTCTGTGTCTGCGTCTGTGTCTGTGTATGTGTGTGTCTGTGTGTGTCTGTGTGCATGTGTCTGTGTCTCAATCTGTGTCTGTATCTGTGTCTGTATGTCTGTTTTTCTCTGTGTCTGTGTGTGTGTCTGTGTCTGTGTCTGTGTCTGTGTGTGTGTCTGTGTGTGTGTGTCACTGTCTTTGTCTGTGTGGGTGTATGTCTCTGTGTGTGTCTGTGTGTGTGTCTGTGTGTGTGTGTCTGTGTGTGGCTGTGTCTGTGTCTGCGCCTGTGTCTGTGTCTGTGTGTCTGTCTGTGTGTGTGTCTGTCTCTGTCTGTCTGTGTCTGTGCGTGTGTCTGTGTCTGTGCGTGTCTGTGTCTGTGTGTGTCCGTATGTGTCTGTGTCTGTGTCTGCGCCTGCGTCTGTGTCTGTGTCTGTGTCTGCGTCTGTGTGTGTCTGTGTGTGTCTGTGTCTGTGTGTCTGTGTCTGTGTGTGTGTCTGTGTGTCTGTGTGTCTGTGTGTGTCTATGTCTGTGTGGCAGGGTGTCTGTGTGTCAGTGTGTCTGTGTCTGTGCCTGTGCCTGTGTCTGTTTCTGTGTCTGTTTGTGTGTCTGTGTCTGTGCCTGCGTCAGTGTGTGTGTGTCTGTGTGTGTGTCTGTGTCTGTGTCTGTGTCTGTGGCTCTGTCTGCAGCTGTGTGTGTGTCTGTGTGTGTCTGTGTGTGTGTGTCTGTGCGTGTGTCTGTGTGCGTGTCTGTGTCTGTGTCTTCGTGTGTGGCTGTGTGTGTGTCTGTGTGTGTCTGTGTGTGTCTGTGTGTGTCTGTGTGTCTGCGTGTCTGTGTGTCTGTGCGTCTGTGTGTGTGTCTGTGTCTGTGTCTGTGTCTGTGTGTGTCTGTGTCTGTGCCTGTGTGTGTCTGTGTGTGTGTCTGTGTGTGTGTCTGTGTCTGTGTGTGTCTGTGTGTGTGTCTGTGTGTCTGTGAGTGTGTGTCTGCGTCTGTGTCTGTGTCTGCGTGTGTGTCTGTTTGTGTGTCTGTCTGTGTCTGTGTCTGTGTGTGCGTCTGTGTCTGTGTGTGTCTGTGTGTCTGTGTGTGTGTCTGTGTGTGTGTCTGTGTCTGTGTGTGTGATTGTGTCTCTGTGTGTGTGTCTGTGTCTGTGTCTGTGGCTGCGTTTGCCTGTGTCTGTGTCCGTGTCCGTTTGTGTCTGTGTGTGTGTCTGTGTGTGTGTCTGTGTCTGTGTGTGTGATTGTGTCTGTGTCTGTTTGTGTCTGTGTGTGTGTCTGTGTGCCTGTGTGTCTGTGTGTCTGTGTGTCTGTGTGTCTGTGTGTCTGTGTGTGTCTGTGTCTGTGGCTGTGTGTCTGTGTGTGTGTCTGCGTGTGTGTGTGTGTGTGTGTCGTGTCTGTGTCTGTGTGTGTGTCTGTGTCTGTGTCTGTGTCTGTGTCTGTGTCTTTGTGTGTCTGTGTCTGTGTCTGTGTGTGTCCGTATGTGTCTGTGGTTGTGCCTGTGTCTGTGTGTGTGTCTGTGTGTTTGCGTGTTTCTGTGTTTGTGGGTGTCTGTGTTTGTGTACGTGTGTGTCTGTGTGTGTCTGTGTGTGTCTGTGTTCGTGTCTGTGTGTGTGTCTGTGTGTGTTTGTGTCTGCGACTGTGTCTGCGCCTGTGTATGTGTATGTGTCTGCGTCCGTGTGAGTGTGTGTGTGTCTGTGTGTGTCTATGTGCCTGTGTTTGTGTGTGTCTGTGTCTGTGTCTGTCTCTGTGTCTGTGTCTGTGTCTGTGTGTCTGTGTGTCGGTGTGTGTTTGTCTGTGCCTGTGTCTGTGTCTGTGCCTCTGTGTGTGTCTGTGTCTGTGTCTGTGTCTGCGTCTGTGTGTGTGTCTGTTTGTGTGTCTGTGTCTGTGTCTGTGTTTGCGTCTGTGCCTGTGTCTGTGTCTGTGGCTGCGTCTGTGTACGTGTGTGTCTATGTGTCTGTGTGTCTGTGTGTGTGTCTGTGTCTGTGTGTGTCTGTCTGTGTGTCTGTTTGTCTGTGTGTCTGTGTCTGCGTCTGTGTGTGTCTATGTGTGTGTCTCTGTGTGTGTCTCTGTCTGTGCCTGTGCCAGTGTCTGTCTTTGTGCCTGTGTCTGTGTCTGTGTCTGCGTCTGTGTGTGTGTCTGTGTGCGTGTCTGTGTGTGTCTGTGTGCGTGTCTGTGTGTGTCTGTGTGTGTCTGTGTGTGTGTCTGTGTGTGTGTGTCCGTGTGCGTCTGTGTCTGTGGTTGTGTCTGCTTGTCTATGTGTCTGTGTGTCTGTGTGCGTGTGTCTGCGTCAATGTGTCTGTGTGTGTGTCTGTGTCTGTGTCTGTGCCTGTGTCTGTGTCTGTGTCTGCGTCTGTGTGTGTCTGTGTCTGTGTCTTCGTGTGTGTGCGTCTGGCTGTGTCTGCGTCTGTGGCTGTGTATGTGTCCGTATCTGCGTCTGCGTCTGTGTGTATGTGTCTGTGTCTGTGTGTCTGTGTGTCTGTGTCTGTCTGTGCCTGAATGCCTGTGTCTCTGTGTGTGTGTTTGTGTCTGTGTGTGTGTCTTTGTGTCTGTGTCTGTGTGTCTGTGTCTGTGTGTGTGTCTGTGTGTGTCTGTGTGTGTTTCTGTGCTGTGCCTGTGTGTGTCTGTGTCTGTGTCTGCGTCTGTATCTGTGTGTCTGTGTGTCTGTGTGTGTGTCTGTGTCTGCGTCTGAGTCTGTGTCTGTGTGTGTGCCTGTGTGTGCCTGTGTGTGTCCGTGTCTGTGTGCTTGTGTGCCTGTGTGTCTGTGTGTGACTGTG